ATAATATAATTATTAAACATCAAGCATCAATTGTATTACATAACTGAGACGGGGATCTATTAAAATTATTTTTTAGCCTACTTTACACATAAAATAATAATATAAACTTCCTTTTTTTTTAAAATGAATATAAATTTCCTACCTGTAAAACAAGTAAATATCTTCCGTCTATTTGAACAAAAGAAATAATCATTTCTAGAAATTAATTTTTGAGAAACTATTCACATTCGTCGCTTGGCGTGGGTAAACGGCTAGTATTTACTTATGAATATTACACATTATATTCACATATGAATATTACAAGGTATATTCACTTATGAATATATTCACTTATGAATATTAGAAGGTATTTTCACAAATATATATAATTTTTATATGTTATTCACATATGAATAACATACAGACTTGCATATTTGTTTTGTGTTTTTAATAATCATATACTGATTAATGTGAGAAAACATATTCATATGTGAATATAAAGTGGTAATTTAGTTTATGCATTTCATCAAACAATTGGAGTGCATACAATTTAACTATTTTAAAAATGTTAAAAACATGATACTTCCAATTCAAGTTATCAATTCCAAATCATCATATACTTCCGATTTCGACTTCAGATGCGACATCCTATGTCTGATCGATTTCTCATTTTGATTTTGATTTCCGAAAATCCGATTGGGAACCTGTGAGTACCGATTCCAAGTCCTTCAATGTCGACTGTGACTGCGAGTCCAGAACTCCGATTCCAATTTCATGAACAACGAAGAAATTCCGATTCCAACTGAGTTCGTTTGCGAATCTGGGAAATTCCAGTTCCAAATCCGTTATGAACTTTAACAGATGCTTGCAAGCTACGAACATTCGGGGTATTCAACAAAGAAATCGATGAAATTGATGATTGATTAACACTGGATGACATTGATGATGGTTTAGTTGAAGAAATTTGGATGATTGTTGAAGGTTGGAGGAGAAATTTTGATGATGAACGAACTGTTATCGAATTCTCTATAGTTACGTATTTGAGATTGAAGGTTATTAACATATTTACAAGTTTGCCACCGTGTCTTTTTATGCTTAGATTAAATGAGTGGCTGAGAATGATTCCCCCATTCTCAACATTTTTTATTTTCTCAATTGAACTTACCTCTCTCTCTCTCTCTCTATATATATATATATATATATATATATATATATATATATATATATATATATATATACTAGCCGTTTACCCGCGCTAAGCGCCGGGCGGCAAAGAGTTTCTTTCGGAAGATAGTTTTAATGTGATGATTAGTTTCCTTTAGACGTGGGCTATTCATTGCGGCCTTTTGGTAGACTATTTTGTGTTGAATAGTTCATTTCAACAGATAGTTTCTTGCTAGGTGTATAGTCATACAATACGACAAAAGTTGAGTCTATATTTCGAATTTCATATAATAGTTCATACTTGATTTTACACGAACGGGTGTCAAAATATACCACAAATGGAAGTTTAGTAGCAATGAAAATGCATCAACGTAAATGTGACCGTTCATGATTCTACAAAATGAAAGTCAGATGTGATTGATTAAAATTGTCAAAATTGAACTTAAATGTGACCGTTCAAATAGGAACCTAGGTTTGAGACTTTAGTGGGAGAAAAGAATATATCCCAAAGGGATTCTTATTAATTCCAAGGTGTTATAAAGGTTTACATTTGGAAAATTAAAATTGACAGCCAATAATCAATTTAACAACTAATCCATCGTGTGATTGACATAAATCTCAATTTTACTTCATTAAACATTAAAATATTCTCACGATTAGAGTGATTGTGCAGCATCCACATGTGAAATAGACATAATTTCTATTGACTGTGTTAGTAAATTTTGGCATCTTTTTGTAAGCAACTAACTTTATCTCTATTTTCAGGAACTAACATCTGTTTTATGTTTCTTTGTGTGCTTCTACAAAAGTTCTTAGAGGACCAGCTTCTGGATCAAGAGAAGCAGAACGTGTGAAACTAAAACTTGAAATCAAAGTTGAGGTAAGGTAGGTTTATGACATCTGAATTCTCATGAGGTCATATTAAAATATGTTACAAATATTTTTATTCTAGTGAATTATAATTACATAATCTTCCTTTCAATTATGCATAATCTGCTTTCAATTGATCATGTTTTGGATTTATTGTGCAAAGGGTATTTTGGTAAAGTTATATGTAGTTATGAATTTTATATAATTTTTTTAATATTAAATTAATATAAATCTAATTAAAATATGATTTTGGATATAAACGTAATTTTTATTGGTTTAAAAGGATATATACGTAATTTCTAAATTTATAAGGATATTGAAGTAATACTTATAGTTTAGAAGGATATGAATGAAATTTTCCCTATATAAAAAATGTTATAATAGTAAAAACGAAAAAGGATATATTATCTTGAAATATATACTGAAATTAATTGGCAAATATGAAAATGCACATACAAAAAAAATATTGAAGTCTCTACTATTACAATCATAAAAACAGAAAGACACATTCACTTAAACTAAAAAACAGAAGCACACAATGTCCCAACATATACATATACAAACCACACATATATACAATGTCGCAGATAAATACATACACACATATATACATATTATATACATGTATTATTTGAGACAGGCAAAAATTTTGAAACCACTACGGATTTGTACCTTTGTTAAATCTGAATCATATGGAGTCGGCAAGAAAAAAAAATCACAATGTAATTAAATTAATCAAATAAGTGAAATGATGAGGGGAAATATTAAATGGAATTATTAAATGTAATTAAATTAATCACCGAAGATGTCATCACCGCCACAGAAACATCATCACTTGAAGCCCTTCAAAAACAATTTCCCAAATTAAAATTAAAAAAATGACACAAGTTAATTTAATCGCATATATACTAAAAATATCATGTTACTAAAACTATTTCCAAATTGATCCCCATGTTCTTCTTACCACCCTCTTTCTCTGGTTGAACTTGAAGCCCGTCTTCTTTGACCAAAGTACTATCTCCATTAGACTTGATTTTCTAGGGGTTTGAAGCTTCCCTGAGTCCTAATCACCATACCATGAATTCAAGTTAGCAATAATGTCCCTTGGGTTATAATTTGGCACAAATGTACTCCACCCTGTCAAAACAAAAATTTAGAAAAAGTTTTTCGTGGGTGAAAAAGGTTAACCGTTACAAACTTTGAGATAACCCTTACAACTAAAAGTAAAAAAATAAGCATAATATGCTATTTCATTAGCTGTTCAAAATTTTACTAAAGAGGTTATAATAATTATAGCTAGATTAACAAATTATTCACTCTAATGTTGAAAATAATATATTCAATTGCATAGACATAGGAGGTGTTAGACCTGTATGATGGGAACATATACTAATCCTAAAATGTTTATCATTTTTTTTAATTATCAAAATTAAACAATTTACTTTTGCATACAAACCAAATAAAAAGATAATCTGGTATGTTTCTTCTCACAATCACAAATTTGGGAATTGCTATATAGGTAACAGAAGTGACAGAAATATATGTAAGTACATGTATATTTACAAATTTAGTTAATGTATATGTAGGGCAGTCTAGAACAATTGGAAATGATTTTTGTAGAAAACGATCTAGGCATGTACCTGGCGGGTAACAGTTCCAAGAAAATGAGAATCAAAACCGGTTATAGTCTTTTTCAAAACATTAGGAATCGGAATCGGAACTGGAACCAATAGAAACGGTTCTGGTTCCAGAACCGAATACCCGATTTCAATGCTCACCCCTAGTGGTAATGGTAATGGCGATGCTTTTCCACCTCCTCCATCCGTTCCTGAAGATATTGTTCATGACAAAGCAGAGCTTGGAAAAAAAATGATGAGGGTATCAATAGGTTGGCGTAGTCTGGCCACCAAAGGGAACAAAGTCTAATGGTTCACTAACCATTTCAATGTCAATGTCTTTAATGTTGATGACCAATTTTTTTAATATGGTGTATGTGCTTCTTCTATTTGTGCTCATGTCACGTTTTACCATGTACTATAAACCTAAAAACTAAGCTTTATATTAGCAACACTAACTACCTGCATCAGTTATGCAAAATTTGAAACAATACTAAAAAATTATGATCTAATCATCATAAAGACATTCCTATGCATCTATTATAAAATTTATTGTATCATTATTTCAAAGCTCATAGATAATATATATTTATTTTAAATAAATATTAACACCAATACAAAGTAAACCAATTAGTTTATTTTATCAGAAACATCTGTTGAACACATCAACATATGTATGCTTTCTTTAGTTTAGGAAAAGAACACAGACCAAAAGAGTTGCAAGTAATGAGTAGTAAATATGATGTACCTTCATCCATTTAGTCCAAATTTACATGTATCTTGTAAATGCTTTGCTTAAACTTGGTGATGACTACCCTTTCCACTAATTTAATGACAGCTTTTCATTACTCCTACATTCACAAAAGAAAATTTTGAGGGTTGAGATGGTTAATACAATTCAGTTTTTAGGATATTTAAAAGAAATCCCTAACTACTACATGAAAGAAGGTATGACATACCTCCATCGGAATACAAATGAGATTTTTTATGGCCGATTTCAAGTTCAGCCGGTGAAGATCAATTTCTGCGTGGGGACAAAGATAAAACATATAGGGGACGAAGATCATCTGAAAAACACGCACATGCACACACATAGTTAGAAAGAGGCTATAGAGCGATATCTTGGCTGCAAAAATTGACAGATGCAAGCATAAGAAGTGGTTCAAATTACCTGGACTGTTGCAAGAGAAAATAGAGCAATCCCGATACTGCGTGAGTGTTTTAGGTTACACCCTTTGACTCGGATTCAAGTTTAAGTCCCGTGGCCCAGCCGGCGATGCCAATTGCATAAGCATAAACTTGGCAGAATGCAATAAAGGTAAAACCATGTCGGATCTGCAGAGGTGAAAGTTCGAAGGTATCTAGCGATGATTACTCCTACAGAAAACAAGATTCCCCAGCTCACTGTGCATTCAATATCCCATGAATCTTAAACATGAACAAATTACATTTTGATTTTCGATTGATTTTGATGTTAAATCATGAAATTCTACGTGGGTTTCCATGAAAAAAGATAATTTTAATGAAATCAGAATTTGATTACTTACATTTCTATTTTTCGTTCTGGAATCACCACCTCTAATTCCACCGCTAGGTCCGCTGATACTTTGTCCACTTAACAAATCCAACCGCCCTTTCGCCCCCAAATTCGCCGGCTGAAAAGCATGTTTCGCCGGAAACCCATCAGCCGAGACCGACGGCCCTACCCGCCATACCTGATTCACACTCGTCATCCCTTTTTTAGGCAACTCAACCGTAGCAAAAATCCTCATCACCCCATCGAAGTAATCGGCTCTCGTATCCTTCGCCGATCAGTGAAGAGATAAAGAGAGAGACGGATGAGTTTTCGTTTGATGGCGGCTGTTGTATGTAGAGGAGATTTGGTTTGATTTGGTGAGTATCGATCGATTCTGAAGCGATAGGAAGGAGACGGAAAGAAGAGGGTTTCGATTTCCTTCGTATGGCGGCTGTTGTGTGTAGTGTTGTGTGTAGAGAAGATTAGGGTAACATTTCGATAAGGTAATACCGTGTATACCTATACGATGGGATTATAAGCTTAATATTATTGTACATGAGGTAATAGGTATTGTACCTCTTAATTTTCAAAAAACAGGCAATATGTTTAATAATATAGTAAATATATATATATATATATATATATATATATTATATATATATATATATATATATATAATTTTCAACTATGATTTTGTGAGTTTAAGTTACTTTTCATTTCTTTTTGTTATTTCCAGACCATAAATGACTATCTAAATCACATTACAACTTTTGAAAAAATATAATACAAGAAGCAAAATAAATATTTCTTTGAAAATAATGATTTTGCTTGTGGTCGTAGCAAATTTTCACATAAGCATTCAAGAAGAGACATTTCAACCAACACTTTATCTTCGTTGTTTTTCAAGAATCTAAAGCTAGTCAAATGATTAACCTTCAACGACCTTACCGATCTCATAACTTTTTTGGTTATTTACATCAAACAACGGCTCAATAATCTCTAACCTCAAGAACTTATATCTGGAAATTTCTAAAATTTTCCTGTAAAACTTTAGTAAATGATCAAAAAAACCGGAGAAATCGAAAATACACAACTTGATATCAAAATCATCAAAGTCATCATCATCCCTGAATCGATCAATCTTAGCTTCTCAATCCCTAGATGATAAACATAAACGAAATCAATAATGGAAATGACAATGCGATGACATCGATTTTCCTTCAATCTCTTTCTAATCTCTGCATCGCCCTTCGACAACATCTTATGGTGGTGGGTAGATCTGATGTTGAATGGGGAAAGAGAGACACACACAAATTAATACGAACAAATGAATATTAGTGGTGGTATTCCAAAACGATTGCAACAAGAAAGCCACATGTCTACGTTATGGAGAGGACGTACCGGTGGAGAAGGCGGTTGATAAGGCCAATTCTAAACAGCTTAAAAACCAAGCCGGCTCCTTTACTATCATCTTGTAAACAAATTTATAGATACTAAACTATACTTTGATAAATACTTTTCAAAAATACAACTTTCTCATACAAAACCCAATATTACAATAAATGTATTAAAAAAGCACACCCACAATAAAAATGACAAGATGGTCTTAAAATAATTATAATCCACCCAAGTCCACATAGTTTCCTTTTGGATGCTTCCAACTTCACCCTCAACTCCCTCCACTCCCCTCCCCATATTATATCTTTCCAAAAATGCCCTACTTGTAATTACCAAAAAGTCCTTCCCCTTCAAACAATTACAAGCCGCGTCTTTAACGTGAAGTATCACCTCCCTCACATGCAACGCCACCCCTCCTTTACCCACACCCAACGTCACCTCTATTCTACATTCCACTCTCTCACTCGAGTCACACCCTGGTAAAACGATGACGTATCGGAGATGGATGTGGTTGTCTACCCATGCAAGAACAGGTTTGATGCTGGATAGGTTTACCGCTCGTTTCCGTGTCGGATCTATTAGGATCCAGTTTAATGTTACGGATTCTTTGAGGTGTGATATTGTTTCGTCGTCGGCGTGTAATAGCCTGTCGACTTTCATGTCGATTGACCCGGGTTCCAAACCCGATTGATTTCTGGCCGGATCGCCGTTTAATACAATCCTAAGCTCCGATGTCAGGAAATTAGTTGTGGTGTCGGTGATTTCGACTCTAGAGTAAACGATATTGTTATGGTAGCGTATATCGACGGCTGAGATAAGTTCAGAGGGCCAAGGATGATGTGTTAAGGAACAAGATGGTTGGGTATTAGACCAAGAACGGCGGCAGGTAAGGTGTTTAACATCGGTGATTGGAGGCTGAAAAGAGTCTTGGAAGAAAGAACGGTGACCGGCGGAGAAGGTGGAGATGACATGGTCGATACGTGGGTGGGTTATTGAGGGCCAAGTGGACTTGCAAATATTAGACCAGAGAATGTCATCGACGGTGATGGTTCGTAGATAGGATGATGTGGTTGCGACGGAGGAGAGAGATTGACCGTCGAGTCGTGGTAAGATTTGGGTTTGGATGATGAGTGGGTGGAGATCGGAGAAAGTTGTTAAAGAAGAAGCAGATGCCATGGCGAATAGAGGTAATGTTGTCGGATTTGGATGGATAGAGACGACTGACAAGGTTTATTTATAGGCTTTGAAACTGAAGTGGATAAAAATTAACATATAATCACATAGAATATAAGACAAAAAAAAAAAAAAAAAAAATTGACATCACTTTTTATATTTGTCGTATCCCTTATAAATTCTCAACCACTTTCATTTAATTTATATCAAACCGCTTTCATTTAATTTATATCTAATTTTTGTTCAGTGGCTTGTATACTAATGGTGCGGATGTATGGGGCCTCCAATCATAAGGGACTATCGTTCGAAAATTTCTTTTAAGGTGATAGATAACTAATGTTAGACCATGATTAATGAATCACTACTAGAAAACAGCCCTTTAATGATGCGCAAACAATGACACGTGCTGATAGAGGACACACATTTGTTCGTGCCCTAAAAAATAATGTCAGCTTTACAAAATTTGAAGGATAGAGGACACACATTTTTTGCGTACCCTCAAATTAATGTCCAAAAAAAAAAAAATACAAACGGGAAGGCGCTTATCTTAAATGTGTGTCGTCTACAAGTGTTGCTTTATAATTTTTTACTGGAACACGCGTTTTTTTTTAAAGGGGGAAAATGAAATCCTCTCAAATTCTAAAATTTTGAACTACCCCACTTCTTCTGCACTCTCTTCTCTGTATCTCCCTTCCTTCTCTCTGTAAACCCTATGCCATCGCCACCACCATTGAACCCTAAGTCTTGCCTTTTACGCTTTCACATCTTTCCTTCCCTAATCTTCACATCTTTCCTTCCCTAATCGCCTGTATTTAATTCACTATTTGGGCATTTTGGTAAGAGCGTAACGATTTCACTATGCCCTTGCTCACGTCTCCTCATTGACGATCTCATGCTCACCTAACATCAAATTCCTTTGTTTCCATCTTTTGCAGAAAACCCAAATACACGCTCACCCCGTTTTCGATGCTCAGAAGAGAAAAAGGGCAAGCGCCTTGGTCCTTTTTGCACACACTTTCGGGCACTATCAACCTACCATTACTTTCTCTCCCCCTCTACTCATCATCTGAGGTGATTGAATGGAAGCAGATATTGCACGCCGGCGATAACACCGCTCGCTCGTTCTTCAATTTAATCCTTAAATTAACTTCAAATCTAACATTTCCTACCAATTTACAATCACAATTTCGAATCAATCACATCAAATTCACACAAAAACAGTCTCAAAATGTCGTGGCAAACTTACGTTGATGAACATTTGATGTGTGACATCGACGGCAGTGATCAACATCTCTCTTCCGCCGCCATCTTCGGCACCGATGGCACCGTTTGGGCTAAGAGCACTTCCTTCCCCCAAGTCTCATGTGAACAGACACAACATCACCAACATCCGATTGACGGGTTCGATTCTCCTCTTCTGGTTACACAAAGGTATGTTGTGCTTACCATCGTTCATCTCCCTATTACCTAATATGCGACTCCCATGAAATCGAGTTGCTCAACAGGATGAAACTCAACATCTCCGATCCGATCTTTATCTGATTTCGATTATTAAAAGCCAACTATAAACATCGCACCACATAGTCGACAATCGACATACTCTCTTTCTCCATGTCGACTCCCTTTCTGTCTCTGTCAAGTTTTAAGGGCGTATAAAAGGGATATCAATATTGCTTTTTTTTAACATGCACTTGATTCTTGGAGCTTTTTCACTAAAATATAGGAGAAGATGAATAATCTGTTTCGAAGGGTTGCATCACAGGTTAGGCCCTCTTATTAGTTATTCCTCCCATTCATGCACACAATCAGAATCAAAATAAGTTTATTACACGAATTAAATCGGGAATATACGTTATTGAACTATACATGATCCTTGTTAAAATTAGTATTCTGCTAATATGATATCGGCTAGATTTGATATTCTCCATCATAATTAAACCTAATAGCTTATGAAACATTGAAATTTCCTTGGGGCGCGGGACCTATTTATCTAAATAAATAGAGAAGCTATTAAATGTTTAGCATTGCAAAAGTATGAAAGTTTATAACTTGTTTGTTTTCATAATTCATACCGTATTTACCACTTACTTTTTTTCCCATTGCTTCATGTGACTTGTAGTTACTGACACTCAGATGAAAACAGGCTTTACGATTACAACTCTAATGATTTGAATTTAATAAGATGTTATAGATTGGTTCACACACAAAAAATATTGGAGGTTCTACAAGTGTGATGGTGAGGTGGACTAGTATAGAAGCTGTACAAACAGATGATAGTTGATCGTAAGGGGTATGTTATAGCAATGCCTCAAAATATTGGATTTCTTTAAAAAAATTGTTTTCTGATTGCTTCTATTCCAATATTAGGTATAAGGGACTGTTGGATGGCAGACTGATGAATTGCATCCATTGGTAATAGACAAATCTGAGGTAAAGATTATTAACATTTAAAAGTATTGGAATTTTGTATATTCTATGTCTATTGTGAAAAAGGTTTGATTCTTGTTATGATAGGGTTCATATGTGTATGACATCAATGGGAAAAAGTATCTTGATTCTCTTGCTGGTTTATGCTGCACAGCTTTAGTATACACAAAACCCTTTTCTAGATTAAACAGTTTCTGAAGAATGTTTGTTTTTTATATTTCTTTTTGTAACTTTTAGGGGGAGTGAATCAAGGCTTGTTGATGCTGCAACTAAACAACTAAATATTACAGAGGTGGGACCTTTTCTAGCTTCAATCATCAATAATACATGACTTGTAACACTCTCTTGTTGTCATCCAACTTTTGCATCTTTCCACCATCTTGAGGTCTTGGATTTGAGTTCTAACAGTCTTGTTGGGAGCATCCCTTCAGCAATACAGGCATTGGATTCCAATGTTCAAGTTCCTACTGTTCCCCTGTTCCTACTGGTGCAACTCTTTTAGTATGTCCAGCACCAATATTGCTACAGTGGCATGCTGAAATAACTCGGTAAACCTCAACTACTATTACTATTTATTGATTCAGCTTTATTGTATATATATATATGCATGCTAATTAGTAATTACTATCTAATTATTTATGGAATCCAGGGACTTTTGAGTTTTGAGGTTACACTGTTTCAGTTTTCACTGCACAAAACTTAGATATTGCAATAGCCACATCTAATATGGAATTAAGTGGTATTTACTTTTTACTAATTAGTAATTACTAGATTATTCTTTCTCCCATGTTTTTGTACAAAAGATTCTAGGTCGTTACAACTTTACTGATGAGCTGTCAGCATTGGATCCCGAACTTTACAAGAATCTTATGTATGTCAAGGTAAAGCATCTTATTAGAAACACAAATCCGGGGAAGGGTAAAATCGTAAATAATTCATTCTTCTTTTCTTGATATATTATTGCATCATTATGATGGTGATGTGAAGGATCTGTGCCTAGATTTTACAGTTACTGAAGAGTTACCTGGAAAACGACATGTTGTTGAACTTAAAGTTACTGGGGGGTAAAGATGTCATTGTCACAAATGATAATAAGTTGCAGTATATATATGCTATGGCAGATTATAAACTTAACCGACAGGTATAATCATCTCTCTGAAATGACCTTTTTACCCTTTCATTCCGGAAAAAGAAACAAATTGATGCCAGCAATTATTTACAGGTATTGCCACTTTCAAATGCGTTTTATAGAGGATTAACAGATCTTATATCCCCATCTTGGTTGAAATTGTTTAATGCCAGTGAATTTAATCAGGTATTAAGTATTGCTTAAATTGATTTATCTTAATTTTTTTTAATTAAATCAACTAAAGTTTTTAATATTTAAAAAAAAAGCTTCTTTCTGGTGGAAACCATGACATTGATGTTGATGATTTGAGGAATAACACACGGTACACTGGTGGTTACACTGAAGGAAGTCGGACAGTTAAGCTCTTTTGGGAGGTATGCATAAATTACATTGGTGGTCCCTGTAGTTTTAATTTTCCGGAATTACACTTTTGGTCCTTTCACTTTTTAATTTACAAGAAGGAAATCACAAAATTTTAATTTATTTTAAATGGTTTATGGGTAATTTGGTAATTTGATGATACATATAGGTTCAAGAAGTTTTGGATGAAATTGGTGCTCCTTCTATACCATTAAGTGTTATTACAAAAGCTGCAGAGATACAACTTTTGTATACAGTGGATAAAGTGATTCTTGGAAATAGGTGGTTGAGAAAAGCCACTGGAATTCAACCCAAATTCCCGTATGTGGTTGACTCATTTGAGAAAAGGTAATGAGGGTATTTACGTATTTTGCTTCTTATTGACATAATACAAATACAATATGTTTATATTGTTGCAGGAGTGCAACTTCTTTTCAAAGGGCATCCATGTTACCTCATGGTGGAGTTCCTGATTCCGATTCCGATTCCGGTTCCGACAACAAACAACTCCAACTTTATATGTAACCCACAATAGTAACTCTTGTTCCCTTGTGAGTGTCCTAAGAGTAAGGAGGTGAGATTCCATAAGAGAGGTCTTGGAATGGCGTATACCCTTTTTTATCATCATTTTTTGTTTTATGTATTATGTAATAAGTGTGATACATTTACTAATATTAATATCTCCGTGAAGGCTTGAAGGGCATTTTGGTCACTCAAAGGCATTATATGGCTTCAAGCAGTTGTTCGTGGTCAAATAGTCAGGCTTTTCTGAAGTTGTCCTCAAATGCTTCAAAAAAAAAACCTCTACAAGAACATTTGGCACCTCATCCTTTTTGTTTAGTTCTATTTAATTATCGCTCTTCTCATACAATATCTTCCCCTTTTTTGACTTCAATTTGTTCCATTACACATCTTTACTAATATTGTCTGTATTGGAATTAGCATTCCTACAATTGTGTAATATTTTTATAGTACATTTTTGTAATACAAGGAAACAAAATTGGATGCAAAACAAATATATAAAAGTATATAACTTTTTTTTTGTATTCAACCTTAAAATTCATGGATAAAATAAAACAATTTTATA